CAGCCAATGTGTTTGAGGGGCCAAAAATTCCCCTTAATCAGGGCTAAAGACAAACAAACATATATAAGCGATACTCAAAATTTGAAGTGAATAATTTTAAGATATATAAGTAACCAAGAATTTGACTAAAATGCAAATCTTAAAGTAGTATTATAGGCACAGCATTTTTTACCTTAATGCATTGTCTGCATCTAGGTAAAAAATGTCCAGTACCTTTCTGTGTCCCCTGTCCCCCCACACTTACCTGTCAGCGTCGCTTGTCACCACAGCCGATCCTTAAAGCAATCTTTCATTACGAACTTCCTGGTTGCGGGGGAGGAGATTGAGGGCAGAGGAGCCATAGGCTCTTTCTGCCGCTAAACAACCTCTATGGACGCACACAGCTACTGCGTGCACAGCCGGAAACGCGTACGCACGGGTGCCTCCACAGCAGCCGCTTATGGAGGCACCCATGCAGGGGGCGGGGGAGACGGTGATGCAGGGACCCACTAGTAAACGAGGAATTGAAAAAAATAATTTATAACAGAACAACATATCTGCATACCATCTGTGCCTCCTTTCCATACAAATAAAAAAGAGCAAGGTTTAATGTCATTTTAAATATCTACTGGACGGAAGACTTGGATCCAAGCAAAAAATCCCCCTTAATCAGGGTAAAGAGAAATGAACATGTATATGCAATATGACACTATAATTTAAAGAAAATCATGTATATCAAACTATATTAGTAAACAAGTAAAAATATAAAGTAACCCAGAATTTAACTATAACACAATTCTTAAAAAGCTCACTGGGGGGTTTAGGAACCAAGCTAGACATGCACATGGCATTTAAGATGTTCTAATTCATAGGGCAGAATACTTTCTGAATACATGAAATGCATAAAATCACAAATACATAAAACAGCCGAGAATATAGACTCATTCAAGAAACCTTCAGATGCCTTCCTCAATGAACACTATATGGCTATGGGTACTTTTAGTGACTCATACACATGCACACATAGGTTGGACTGCATGGGCCTATGTCTTTTTTAACCCTAACAACCATGTAACTATGTAAAACTTATTCTATAATCCCTCTGCAAAAATGTATTAAAATATATTTACATAGAATACAGTAATGATGCCCTCTTTTATCTCTACATCCTAAATATAAATGATAGTTGATCCATAATCACAGAAATATCAAGTTAAGTGCAAACATTTTATTCATAACAGAATATAATGTTATAAAAACTGAAGTAATAGCTAACAATTGGAAGCTGCATTGAATCAGTGGTGTAAACAGAACAAACAAAGCAAAGAAGGACATACCTTTGACAACAGTTTCAAGGAACTTGGACCTGGGTCAATATATCTAAACAGATGCAAATGCTCTGGAGGGCGTCTCTTTGATTGGAATACCTGGGCCTGACTGTAGACACCAGAGTGGACAGAGTTTTTCTTGCCTCAGAGAAAGTTCTGAATCTTCAATCCCATGTTTACCTGCTGTGCACTCGTCAGGCAGCTTTCATCTGCACCTCTGTGCAGTTTCTGGGACTCATGATGGCCTCCTTTGAAGCAGTTGTCTTTGCACAGCGTCATACCAGGCTTCTGCATTCATTCACCAATGTTACTGTGCAGAAAGTCCTTCCTGCCTCTGCAAATGCAGAGTGTCACAATGAAAGCCAGACTGACTGGCTTGAGGGGAGTGTTGGGCCACTTGTTGGCTCAGGGCCCTGTGGACAATGCCATGGCCATGTGAGTGACTGAGATCCAGAAAGACACATTTTGGCCCTGCCCTCCTTTCACATCCGAGGGGTGGAAAACTGGCGGACAGGTGGACTATCTGAGCCATAAGAGTCTAGGTCAGGGAGAGTGGTCCCTTCATCAGGATATCTTTCATAAATGCTGTCTTTGGTGGGGCACTACGGATGGATCTGCTGAGGTCTACCAGAATGCTACTACTTCTATCTAAAGATCCAGTGGTGTCCTTCAATGAATGGAAAATAGGATGTTTGTACTCGCCTTTGCTTTGTTGTGTTTGCCTTTATCCTGTGTACTGCTTTTCTTCCCTTATGGAACAGATATAACAAAATGGAGATGGCCATCTCTATGATAAAGTCCAAAGTGGGAAATGCGTTAGCGGTGTGCGGCTGCATGGCGGGGAGTATTAACATGACCAGGACAGAGAAACACTAATAAAGACTTTATTCGGTGGCATGCATGGTGTGCCGTATTTTTCATTGTTCTGCCAATGAAGCTGGAGTGTGAACAAGCTCAATTACCTGGACGTAGGAGGCTCTCGCAGGGTGGGGTGTCAAATAGGGAATCGGAGTGGTGATGTGTGTATTGGAACAAGATATAACAAAATGCTTATAATGGTATATTTAACAGGCCAAAATGTACCAAATGGGAGAGGTTAATTGTTTTACATAAACATTATTATTTAGTTATATGTATAATTAAAAATGAAATGATAAGATATAAATCATTATTTGCATGTTTGACTTGTAATGGAATTAGGACACTATGAATTTCTTTTACATTGGGCATCCCAAAGTCTTTAGGCTTTTATAAAAGCACACTTTATAGGCATTGGCAGAAATACAAATTATGTAGGAATAACTTAAAGTAAAGGTTAGTAGTTTAATTACCTTGAGTTATATGAGGCAGTGCAGCATCTATGCGGTGTGTTAAGGACAGCTAAATAATATCACCATACATGCATAATGTATGAACCCATTTTTCTGTCACTCACCCCCAAGTAACTAGGCACATGCAGTAAGTACCTTTAGAGGGACCGGTGTCCAAATAAAATGCTGTATGAGTTTTTAAAATCGTAGAAGAAATAGTGCTGGCTACAGTGAATAGTACTTATTTCTTATGTTCCTCAGCTCCATTCATTGGTCATAATGCAGTATTACATTATATACATTCGACCTGAAAGGAAAATAGTTACATAGTTGTTAAGGTTGAATAAAGACACCGGTCCATTGAATTCAACCTATGTGGTTGTGTGTGTTTGTTTTTGAGTGTGAACTACTAAGATTACCTGTACCTCCTGTATATCTTGCTCTCTGAGAAAATATTTAGACAGGTCTTGAATGATACCATACTCTAAGCTGAAACCACTGTCTGTGGAAGGGAGTTCCACAATGTTATAGCTCTCACAGAATCCCATTAATATTAAGAGTGAACAAGTTTAATGCTTGCAGTCTTTCCTCAAAGTTTAGATCTTTTAACCCCTTCATTAGCTTTGTTGCCCTAGCTGGAATCTCTCTAGCTCAAGGATATCCTTTCTGTGGATTGGTGACCGAAAATAAACCACATACTCAAGATGTGGCCGAGCCACTGTTTTTTAAAATATATAGAAGGTTCATCTTTGAGTATTCGCACAGAACGAGCGTTAAGAAACATTTGTAGGGTGAATAGCTTTTGCAAATTGGTTATAAATAGAACCAACATTGCAACAGATTTTCACACGAGAAATGCGATACATGCAATTATATGCATTTATAGGATATTTCTAAACACATGTAAATGTATGTAATGATTTTAAATAATATAATTGAGTGATTAGCGCATCTGAATGGAGGAAGGCCAGTGGATGTAGTCTTATCTAAATTTTGCTAAATCATTCGTTACAGTACCCCATATACGCTTACTTTACAGACTACGGTCTATGGGCATTGATGAAATGGTGTGTAAATTGATAGAGAACTGGTTGCAGGAACAGGTAAAGAGTATCAATAAATGGTTCCTTTTCCAAATTATCACGGGTTGCGAGTGAGGTGCACTAGGTCTCTGTCTTAGTGCCAATACAGATTAACCAGTTTACTTTTGGTATTTGCTGATGATACTAAAATATGTAGGGTAATAAACTGATCACAAAACATAGCATTATTACAGGAATACCTTAATAAAATAGGGGAGTGGGCACCTAAATGTCAAATGTGGTTCGATATTGAAAATGTAAAGTTATGCATTTAGGTGCTAAAAATATGCATGCAAGTTCCACTGGGGAAATCAGAGATGGAAAAGGATTTGGGGTCCTGGTAGAGTATGTGGTTCAGTTTTGGACAACGATCTATAGGAAGGATGTCTTTGAACTTGCAAGAGTTTGAGGACATACGTTATGAGGAAAGATTACAGAAATCGAACTTATTCACTCTGAAGAAGAGGCGTTTAAGAAATCATAAGATCCTTAAAAAAAAACAGGCCACCTGAGTTTGGAGCAAATGAGGTTTAACCTCAGTTGCATTGGGGATTCTTTACTTTCAGAGCAGTAAAGTAATGGAACACTCTTGCCTGGGTAGAGAGTATAGACACATTAAAAAAATGTCTAGATGTCAGTGGGTATGGAAATTTCTAGTGACACCTGTATACGCACACACACACTGAACTGGATGGACCTGAGTCTTTTTTCAACCATAACAACTATGTAACTATACAGTATAATGCACAATGCGCATTTACTTGCATTCTGGTGTATTCAGTTCAACTGCATGTAGAAAAAATTGAAATCTTGTTTCCAGGGGCAGATTAGTTCTTTTGAATGTGTCTAAATGCATGTAAATGCAGTGCGAAGGGAGTTTGTAATGTCTGTATGGAACATCTAATGTCTGTATGGAACATCCAAGTGCCATTTTTATGTAAACAAATGTACATTCTGAATATGAAAACAAAACTATACCTCCCAGATCAATTCCTTCTTTGTAAAAGTAAAACAAATATAGGAGACCTGTGAGAATGAGACCATATTTTTACACTCCTAATGCAGTACACAGCTGAGAATGCATGTAACTTAACTTCAGGCTGTATGCTGACCTCTGAGCCAGTGCAAACATGAGAGCCAGATACTGGTCAGGGGGATAATAATTCTGAGAATTGTGAATGACAGAGTACTCTTGACAGTGGATACTTAATCAATAATAACATAATAACATTACATTCCAAATGGGTTATGTAGCAATTGTGTTGTGCATCTTAATTAATTGAAATGTATCTTAATTTTTTCTTAACATTTTTCTGTGCAGAATATGGAGCTCCTGATGATGGGGAAATTAAGCCTCTGCAGCCAGTCAACTTGAAAAATAAGTTGCTTTGTAAGTTAACATAGTTTTGTTCTGGAATATCAAGTTACTAGTTATATGTTATTAAAATTTAAAGTGTTTCTAAAACCAAAAATTTAATTTATTGCAGCTTACCAGCTCTTAGATGTGGTGGCTGCATTATTTTGTTTAGGCTTTTTTTTTCGTTATTTTCACTTGGTGATCTAGCCAGTAAATATGTTACTTTTCAATTTCCTTTGACAGACCAAACTGTCCAGCAAAAGTGGCAGTTAGAGGGTTGAGACCATTTAACACTGATGGGTGCTTACAATAATTAGCTTTTATTCATTTATGTACAACCTTTATACCAGAATGAAAAAAAAAATTGTTGGTCTTATCTAAAAAAATGTTAGCTGGAGGTCAGGATAATTTGTTAGTCAAGTCCATCTCAATCTGCTACTGCATCTAACACTACCCTCAGGTTGACAATGTTGCTGTCCAATGGTGGCACCATTGTTCCTTCATAGAGTGGAGCCAGCCTCCATTTTTTTAATTTCAACCCTAAATTAAATTGAGCACTTAACCCTTGCAGTGGGGCTACCCCTGCACTGCTAGGGTTAAGTGCTTGTTTTCATCTTGGGACATTATGTTACCTGAATCTCGCAGCTGGCTGGCTGTTAGACCGGTGCCTGCAGCCTGTCTCCTCCACTTCTGCAATGAAATATCCTTCAGCATTGTAAACATCCTATACATTGGATAGGAAATTATGACTCACAGGACCTTAGACCGCCGATCCATGTGGCCCTGCCAGTGGTCATTTATTTATACTTACTTTGTGCCAAGCTGGACCAATGTAAGTATATGGACATTTCTCTTTTGTTCATTGAAGGACACAGTGGAGATCTTGAATCTGTGACCATTGGGTTATAGCTCCACCTTAAAGAGCAGGACACCAGGCAAAAAAAAATACAGCCTAGGGGTGGCCCCAGATGGTGGCCAAACCCCCCAACAGCTAGAGGCAGCCCATTTTGTGGCTTAGTGTCAAGGTGTAAGGACCTAAGCACTGTGCTAGGAATCTTAGTTTCCTTTTTCTTATGTAGGGTATTTTTATTTTTGGTTTCAGTGTTTTGAGTCTTCAAGACCTTTAATCAAAAGCTGAGCTAGGTGACAAGCTAGATATTATAGATCCTTGTAGCCCCCCCAGCTCAGCCATCGAATCGAATGCATGCAGATTCTTAGCTACATGCGGGTTCAGCTGCAACAGCCCTATTCTTGATCCTAGGGAAACTCGTGAGATTTTCTCACATGGGGCACATATGAGTGAGTGACTTGTTGCTCTGCCATAGTGTCCCCCTGGCGGACAGCACCCATGCTATGGTAGTAGGTGTAGTTGGTGAGTATGCACTTTTCTCTCCTAATTCTATTTTGGGTGAATTGAAGCGCCACGCTGTTCCCCTTTATTACGTGTCCATCTGTATATTATGGGCATGGGGTACACGTAACTGGTGGTACTATACAGCCAGTCACAGTGCCCCCGGACAGGTTAAGCAGTGCCCAGACTTTCCTTAGCCTAGCGGTGAGGAGTTACTGGGGGCCTGGCTGCAGGTTCTGTGCCATGCAGTCAGGTCGTGCAGCAATTGAGGACGTGATTTTGTAGCCTCCTGTGGTCAAATATCGTGGCCTCCAGGTTTAGATTGGGCTGTGCCCTTAGAGACACCACTTGTGCCCTTACATGATGTCACTTACGCCCTTTTGTGACGTACTTCCATGCGTGTTGTGCTATCTTCTGGAGGCAGAAGTGAAGAAGTCCATGTTTTACCAGACAGGCTTTCCTCTCAAGCTATTTGCGGCCTTTATATTGCTGATGGCAGCATGGATCTCCTGCCCAGGCAATCAGCAGAGCACACGTCAGCCTAATATGAGAAACTAGCTGCTACTGGCTTTGCTTAGTGTGGCCTGAGGTGTTTCCGTCCCCTGAGTCCCTCCCGTGAGATTGTGCTCCATGTGATCAGGCTGGCTGGTAATTGAGGCCGTGGCTTTGAGGTCTACATTAAGCCCATAGTGGCTGCCCTGTCTGCTGTGGGCCTTTGCTTTTTCATGCACTATTCTGTCCACCTTCTGAAACTTCTGGGTGCAGGAGGGGTCGTCTCAGCTTTTGGGAATTAGAGGATCATGGACCTCCTTTTTGTACTGCTGCTATGCAATGTGGATCCAGGAGAAGGTGAGTGTGTTTATTCATCCTCCCTTCCTGGATATGTATATACTGTTGGTCTCTTTCCTTTTCTCTATTGCTGGCAGTTGTTTTCATGTATTCCTGCAGTCTGCATGTCCTGCTTTCAGTTCCTTCTGACAATGCACAATTGAGTTTAGCATGTTTAGATGTGTATATACTATCTTGACCCTCTCCCCTTACTTAATTTGGGTGTTTTTTTAATCGCAATAGTGACTCTGCCTGCCAACTCCTTGCCGAATGAGGTTGTTTCTGCAGAGTCGCAGGCACTTTCCATAGCTCCCAGGCTTGGGTGTTTATCTTCCCTTATGCTGCTCTACATTCCAGCTTGCAATAATGTAGCAGCCCATAGTTTCTATTAGTGCGGCTCCTGTCTCGGGTCTTTTAGATGCCCTACGATTTCTGACTCCTCTGAGGCACACACTCTTCCCAGGTGTCCTGTGTAGAGACTAGGGGACCCCTAAAGTCTTTTCTCCAGAGTCCAGCTGCTTTAACAGCTTTTAGACTGTTTCACCTAATGAATGATCAGCAATGTCTGTGGTGGGTGCACCAGTGGTACGATCTCCATGTGTTTTCACTGCATTCTTTCCTAAATCTTATTTCCTCTGGTAGGTTAAAACCTCTGTGGACATCAGTGCTGTCCGCCAGGCTTAGACCCTGCAAATATAAATAGCAACAGGTAACCTTCTCGGACAGGGACCACAGCCCACCGTGAAAGACAGTCAGATGAGGTGAAGCAAGGTTTGGGCAAACAGTAGAACCCTTGCTAGCAGCCCCTGGAAACCAGATCCCGAACCCAGGCATCAGAACCGGACATCTGCAAGACTAGCAGACATGTCATGAAGGACATCGCTCCATGTTGAGAGAACTTAGGGAATTAAGAATCCCAGGGTAGCTTAGAAGTGACCAGGCTAAAAACCGTGCCCACAAAGAACCAAAACTGGGAGAACAAAATGAACACAACTGGGCCCCAAATGGGGGCAACCTTTTCAGTTAGAGGCTAAGGCTCATTTAGCTAAGGGAAAGAGTACTCTCTCTGCCTTCTCCACATCTCAACACCTTAAATGGAACTCTACATAGACCAAAGAAAATAGAACTACCCGCCCGCGCCTACGCAATAGATCGGGATTGCTGGCTTATGAGACTAAACTAAACCTATGTTTAACATTCTAGCAACATAGCCAGGCTAGGTGGCAAGGCAAACCCTTCATCAGACCCATAATTCTGCAAGGAATAGGCTAGGTCTGCCATAGCTCCCCTTCTTCAGGGAATCTTTTTAACCTCTTTGGACATCAGTCTTCACACTTTTCATGTGTCTCTTACAGCATGTCACTGTTTTGCTGTGGGCCCCCTGATCTGTCAACTGTAGTCATACCTTTTGGCCTATCTGTCATACACTGAGTGTTGTCAATGGTGCTAGCTCCTATGCTGGCCTTGTTATGCTCCCAGGGCATTCCCATTGCGGGATAGTTGGGTGACCCTCTAATGAGAGGACAGTTAGTACAGGTTGTTGCCGACTATGTACTAAAGACTATCTAGGCCTTAAAGTGCTTTGTTGTGACCTTAAGTATTCGGATGTCAGCACTGGATCCAACTTAACACTGGATAATATGGGGCTTGTCCTTGACCTAGCTCAAGAGGAGTGTTTCTTCCTTCAGAGCAACTTTAGTTTTTCCGAGGTAGGGCTTTTCCTTTTCTGTCCAGGAGCCGACTGACTTTGCTTTTTGAATGAGAATCCTGGGCCTGTTGCTAGCCTCCTTTGTAGCTGTTTAGTTTGTTTGGAGCCCGTCCAGCCCCCTTCTCTGTATTCAGTCTTTGAAGGACAGCTTGGTTTAGTTTTTGAACAAAACAATGAAGTTTTTTTCTGACCTGGTGGCTCAGTAATCTTACCCTGGAGTTGGCATAATTATTTTCTCATCCTAGCGCAGATTCTCATAGGGGTGCTGGATGTCTTGTTGGTGCAGGGGACTTGGTCAACATAAGAGTCATGATAAATGTGAAAGTGCACTGCGCTACCAAACAAAAATGTTTTCTTTCCCTTACAATGTCTATATCCAACAAGTTCCAATTAAAGTGCATGAAATATTTCAAACTTAGCAGTTTATAAATCTCAATAAATATGCCATATTAAAAAAGAAAGAAATCGCTCATCGTGTAGTATGAACTTAACAAGCTTTAATTAGAATAAAAAAGTCCTACTCACATGCAGTATGTTTAAAATTAGCCAGCAAATGGTACAGTAAAAGACAATGCTCCCCAGACTCTCACTAGTCACAGACGTCCGGATCAGAATAGCCTCAGCAAGGTCCACCCCTTGACATGTTTCGTCCAGGATGCTCACAAAAGATGGCAGACCTTACTGAAGCTATAATGCATTAGCTATACACTGAGTGGCCAGATTATTATGACCACCTGACGTTTGTAGGCAAATTAGCTATAATTTCGCGCTGAAGTTGCTAGAGGGCCAGACCATTATAAATAGGGAAGCAGGTTGTTTACCACGACAGTAGAAGTGATTTTTTTCTGAAGATATGGGTAAACGACGTGATTTAACATCCTTTGAATGTGTGATGATTGTTGGCACTTGGAGCCATGGAGTGAGTATCAGCAAAACAGCAGAATTCGTTAAATGTTCAAGAGCAGCTGTTGTTAAAGTGTTTAAAGACTGGACTGTCAGCTGAAAATCTGGATCTGAACGTGCGAATTGTGGCCGTCAGCGACTAGTCAATTTTAGGGCAGAACGGAGAGTGGCAAGACTGGTACAAGACAACAGAAGGACAACAATGCATCAAATTACTGCAGATCTTAATCAGGGATCCTCTCA